CTCGTCAGTTTCTCTCTCTAATTCTCTCTCTTTATATATATGTGTATAAACACACAGTAAGCTATAACCTATTTTAGTGGTATATATATATGAATTGGACGGATTGGCACTTACTTTGATATGTGTATGTGTATCTATCTGTTCAGGTCTGTCTAGGTTCGGATTTGTGAATTTGTTGCATAGTAGTAGGAGATTTGGGGGTTTTCCAAAGAAAATGGCGAGTTTGAAGAGTTGCAATGGGTATATAGAAACTAAATTAGGGTTGGTTCAGCCCGCAACGGAAGCTTATGCTGCAGAGGCAATTGAAGCTGTCAAAGCTGGGAAGATCGTAGCTGTGCCCACAGATACACTATATGGATTTGCCTGTGATGCTTGGTATGCCAGTTGACTGATTTCTATTCTTCTTGTTTTGTATAAACATTCCGGCAGATCAATGTCTTATTGTTTAATCGATAAATAAACCCTTAAAAGCTTTCGGCAACATTGGGATACTACATATCCACTTCCAAAATTATGGACATTGGATATACACAAACACACATGTAAAAAGAATGTGGATATGGTCATGATACGAACATAAATTCGTTTGTATACATAGAAATGTCATGAAAATTCTTTCTTTTTTGGCTTTGCCCAACTAATTCACAGGACCCTTGCAAAGTGCTGGATCGGTAAAGCTCAAATATATTCACAAAAGATTAACTTTTTATGAATATATCAGGCATTAGTTTGTACTTTATAATGTTAAGATTCAATGAAAAAGTTGAACGTTGTGTTACATCGATATGGACTTCTTCACACTTGTTCTTATCCGTTCTTTTCTTTAAAAAAAAAAATTGTAACTGGTTAATGTATAAAACAATGACAGACTTCGTAACTTTTGTGTTACCCGTCAATTGTATCAATCCGGTCCTGCAAGTATGATACAAATATATCTCCCTTGTAGCTAAAAAGCCTTGATACTACCATTTGGATCTAGAACCTTCATGCTGAAGACTTAAATTAGCTGGTAAAATTTGATTTAGTTGAACTAATGCTTGCTTAAGAGGAATTATAGACGTATATATGCATAATAAATACATAAATATATGATTTAGAAATAACTCTTAGTCCTTTGTGTACTTTTTATACAAGTAAAATCCAATTTCAAGACTCCACTTTTTGGTGGCTTGTATTCACATGGGGCCTTGGTGCAGCTCTATGGAAGCAGTTAATAGGATTTATGAGATCAAAGGGCGTAAACATACAAGCCCTTTTGCAATTTGTGTTGGGGATGTACAGGACATACAGCGTTTTGCCGTCGCAGACCATTTGTGGCTTGCTTGATTGTCTCATTCCAGGACCTGTAACGGTGGTGCTAAGGCGAGGTTTGTATTCATAACTTTGTTTTTCTTGGACAAATGCCCAAAGGGAGGATAAGAGAATTTTTATGCTCGAGGACCTAAGACACATGGCAAAAGAAAAATTGTTAAGATACTAAATTACATGCCAAGTTATACCAAAGGGTCAAGCGGCCCAGCGGTACCGACTCCTACTCCCCAAAGGGGAGGTCTAGAGTTCAAGCCTCAGTGGAGGTGCTGGGTGTGTTTGGTTACTACTAACCTATCAAAAGAAAAAAACATGCCAAGTTATATTTCCCTGGACATTCTCGTTTCTTCCATTGTTCATGCAATTTCTAAACTATGTTACACAGCTTAGTAGTTGATCTGTTAACTGTAATCTTCAATTTCCCAGCTGAAAACAGAAATTGGGATGTTTTGCAGGGGACTCAAGCGTACTAGAGAAGTCCTTAAACCCTGGTTTGGAGAGCATTGGAATTCGAGTGCCTGATTGTAACTTTATCAGAGTAATTTCCAGTGGTTCTGGAAGTGCACTGGCCCTTACGAGTGCAAACCTCAGTGGGCAGCCTAGTAGTGTAGACATCAAAGATTTTGAGAACCTCTGGGAACACTGTGCATATGTCTATGATGCTGGTGCGCTTCCATCAGGACGTGCTGGATCAACAGTTGTGGACCTTACTAAACTAGGAAAGTACAGGATTTTGAGACCAGGAAGGTAAGCGTTGAATGTTTCAAACATGGAGTATTATGTTTATATAACATTTTTGACCATACCTCTCCCCTCCCCTCCATAATTATACCATTCTCATTGAAACTAAAAGACACTGTAGAATATGAGGATCGTGTGGATGCACTAATTTTTATGTCATAAAATATAGAATATTAAAAGTTGCTTCATACACACAAATGACAACGCCATACTTAGATAGGTGGTTTGAGGTGTAATATTTTTAAAAATTGTTAATCACGACTGTGAGTAGATGTTTCTGTGGAAGTCTATTTTGGTTTTCCGTCTAAGGTGGGTTTTTTGTGTGGACGGCAGCTGTTTAAAGGATTGGATGATTGATGTTGAATAGGGAGAAATTTCTCCTTCATTAATGTTGTATGTGTGAAGAGGCGGCTGGAGTCTGTTGATCATCTGCTTATCAATTGTAGAACGACTAGGGAGCTTTGTTCTCTTTTTTTCTTTTTTTTTTACCATATGGGGTAATGGGGGCATCTTTGGTCTCCCTTGGTCCTATGGCAGATTTAATAATTAATTGGAAAGCGAGTAGAAGATATACAAATTAGGATAAAGAGAGGCTTTAGTCGCAACTCCTTATGCACTTCATTTGGTGTATTTGTGGAGAAAAGTTATATGATGGCTTCCGAATATATATATATATATATATATATATATATATATATGATGGCTTGCAAGAGGATGGATATTCTTATACATAGAGTCGAATACATATTTTGGGAATTCTTTGTTTTTTTGGCTGATGCGAAGGGTAAATCAATCACTGGAAATGTTCTTTTTTGGTAGTGGTGGTGGTTGATGCGTCCTTTTAATGCTCCCCGGTGATACTTTTATTCCAAAATATATTCTAAAAAAACTTTGACCTGTAGTTGATGTCAATTAATTTTGGCATAAGCAGGAACAGGGGAAGGGAGTATGGGGAGGAGAATTCCAGTTTATGGAATAATGACATATGCACGCCGTCTAATTGCATGGTGCTTAGTTGTCCTCCAGACAAGCTTTTTTCTGCTTTTATACAGATGCTTACCCTGTTAGGATCCAATTTAAGTTTTATCCTTTAAAAGAACGCACTTTTATTAATGATAGATGAAACCTTAATTTTATATATGGTGAAATATTGCTGCATGAACCATTTTAGTTATTTTTCATGCGTATATGAATAATTGTTCAATGCATAACTGAAAAAGTACCCATTTATATATTGAGGGGAATTCTCATCCAGTTCTCCTGAAATCATGTGAAATTGTTGGTATTGACTGTGTATGTAGGTCTATTTTGGGGTAACAATTTTAATGGGTTTTTATTGGTATTGGCAGTGCCAAAGAAGAGACTGTTGCGATCCTTGAGAGACATTCTCTACTAGAAGATGAAACCGCTGCTTAGTTCTAAGAAGAGGTCCAACTGAATCCGCAAGCTGTGCTGTCTTGTTAACTTTTAATGATTAATACATAGGGATGGACAGATTTTGCCTAAGCATGTAAGAAACTCACTATTTTGTTGTAAATTAGTCATGCTCTGGAATCATGTCTTGAGAGAGGCTTAGCTGGCTTTGATTCTTTGTTCTCAGTATTTGGGGTGTATAGATGTGCCATGAAAACAAATGAGCTTGTCATGGTATTTGAGAACACTTATAATATGTATTGATTATTTAACCTTTCAATATCCTTATGAACTAATTTATCATTGTCGGTAACTCGGTCATTCCATTTCTTTTTCCCTCCCCTACAGTGAAGACATTCTTAAAAGATTTCTTGTGCCTCCCTCAGTACGAGGGTGCAATTGCATTTCCTTTGAAAGGATAACACATTCATTTACTGGATTTGCAGCAACGTGTATTCCTACTTCGTTTTTTTTTTCGGTTAACAATGGTGGTGTTGGAACACCACCAGGTACTTTGTTTTTTTTCGGTTAACAATGGCGGTGTTGGAACACCACCAGGTACATGTGGTCCCTTTGTTCCACGTGTACTATGCAATTACAATGAAAATTTTCTGGGAGTGGCCATGAGGATTCAAACTCCCAATCTCTCCACCCAAATATATTGAAGGTGCTGAGTCTGTCATTGGACTATTCCCTTGGGGTTCAACAACATGTAATCCATCTTACACTGTTAATCTGCAGTCCTGTACTTAAGACAGTGGAACTGTACATGCATGAAGAATGCTATTTCATGGGATCAATGTTTCCAGCCTTCAAAAAGTGTCTGAACTGTGCATGTGAAATCGACAAAACTATACCCACATAACAGAATGGATGTAATGCTTCAATTCAAGATAGGTATTCATGATTAGTAGAAAAAAAAATGGTATTCATAATTGAACTTCGAAGAGGTCGAACTATGAATAACCTCGTGAGTAGGTATGGGCTAAACTTTGAAGAGCTCCTACTAATAGAGCTTGTGAATATATCCATGTCTTCTAATAAGCCTCGGGGGATGGAATGCTGAAAAAAAGATAGAAAGTTAAAAAGGGTAAACAATAATGAAGGTTTTTGACTTATACAACCAGACTAGCCCCGTGCGTAACTCGAACCCATGACCTCCAAGTCATAACAAAGCTTGTGAATATATCCATGTCCTCTAATAAACCTCGGGGGATGGAGTGCTGCAAAAAAGTTAGAAAGTTAAAAAGGGTAAGGAATAATGAAGGTTTTTGACGTACACAACCGGACTAGCCCCGTGCGTAAACTCGAACCCATGATCTCCAAGTCATAATGGAGCAACCTTACTGTTGCACCATACTCGTATACACAAAGCTAATGAAACAAAAATGAGAGGAAACTGAATTGCCAGAACATCTATACATCTTTCTAAAGGATTTCAAAAAGCATCTGCGCTAAGTCTCTCCATAACATCAAAAGATGCACAAGCCATCACATTCCTTTGGTTTCAGTGGGTGATGAACAAGAGCACAAAAGGATAAAACAAGATGCATGTTGCCCAGATGCTTTAATGTACCAAAATAAGGCCATTCATTTCACAAATAGCTACAATAAGTTTTCGCTAGAAATTTGACGGAAAATGAAAGAGAGATTGTTGCACCATCAGATCAGAAACACAAATTTCTTATAATTGAACTACGGGTAGCCTTGTTCTTTGAGAGTAACCTATGATCCAATTCCAGGACCACTAAGGGAGAAATCTCTACAAGTTACGTTTCTTAGCTTTCTTTCCTTGGCCCTTCTTAGGCGGTCCCTTTCCACGACGCTTCAACATTTCAAGTTTTGCTATGCGCCTGCCAAAATGCACACAATTCATAAGCATGTCAAATTTTAGAAGCATGCATCATACTAAGCACTGTATATGAAACTTTATTTTGAGTTTGCGTATCACAGTTTAGCAGTATCTATATTTTGTGTTTCTGTTTTTTAAAATCTGTTGTTTCAAATCTGCATTTGAGCAGTGTCACTACTTTAGTAGAATAGACAGAATATAATTTGCTTAAATTTTAGCAATTTCAACCATGAAACAAGCACCAGCATTCAAATCCTATCATCTATCAATTTGACACAACTCGAGAAAAAAAAAAAAACACAATTAGGCTAAGCAACAATTAGTTGGAAAAGAAACTAGAGAATTCAGAGCACTAGAAAGAGAGAAAAATTAGGCTATCAAGTGTTTGTGTATGTGTGCTGGTGAGGTGTGTGTGAGAGAGAGAGAGTAGGGGATACTCTTGTTCTTCTTGGGCCATGACAAGAGGATCATCTTTCTTGATGTCGTAAGGATACCACTGCGCAACTTTCTCACCAATAAGCTTCTTGCGTAAGATCTTATGGCTAGACTTCGCCCCTGTTGGGTTAAGAACATGCCCAAAAATCTTCGCCCTTACTTCAGTCAATCCTTGAATAGCTGCTTCGGCCAGGATGCTTTTCAGGCTGCCAACACCCATCTTTTTTCTCTAATTCACACAAACAAAGTTCTCTTTCAGTTTATCATAATCATATGCTAATCTATACACATGCTGGTCAAAAGTTTTTTCCTGGATCTTGTGTTAGGAGCGTGCAGGAGTTTTCAGTCGAGTGTCCATGCTTTACACATTCATTTTTTAATTAAGGACACATTGAACATGCATGCACGTGTCAAACAGTGATTCAGACACACAGATGTGGTAATCTCAACTAAGAATACATTGGAAGAGTAGTAATTACTATAAAAATTGGTCAGGATAAAATTGCTAGATCACTATATATTAAAAATTACTTATCAAAAAAAAAAAAAAAATCGGGATCTATAATGTACATTTCCATAAATTCCTTTTTTTTTTTTTAAGAAAAAGAAAATGATTTAAATGGGAATCTCCTTTGGAGGATGCTTGTACTCATTTTCACATCCATGTACTTTGCAAACCATATTCTAAATTGTAGCATCAAATAACTTTAGGCTAATAATGCAAGAAAAGGCCACAATTAGATCAGCAGCAAAAGTTTCTGATCAAAATCGAACTTTTTACTCTTGAAAAGTCTTTAGAAAAGGAAATCATAGCACTTTAAGCATAAGAGGGAACGTTTTGTAACTATCTACATGTGATAACACATGTTTACTTCTACAAAGTAGCGTATATTGCTTTCACCTCAGTACACTACTAAATATGCATATCTACTAGCATCACTTCTTTGGTACTGCCATATGCACTATAAAATGCCTGCTTTCTCAATCTTCACCTGTGTACATGTGTGCCTATGAGTAATTTATAACACCAAAACAACTAAGCATCAAAACTCCCAAATAGGGCTTGTAAGTACTTGCATACAAATGTGCTCGAGCGTAGACTTGGTTCATTCTAATGTGTGCGTGCATTAATAACTGAAGTGCCACTTACAAGTATATGTTAAGAAATTCTCGATGAAGGCAATTTAATCAAGACTCAGGAAAAAGATTACCAACCCAAAAGATTATACAATGAAATTAGAAAGCAGAACCATAGTTGGCAATTTATCGAACAATTCGTGCACTAATAATTGAAGTGCCATTTACAAGTATATGTTAACAAATTAGATGAGGCAATTTAATCCAGACGCAGGAAAAAGATTACCAACCCAAAAGATTCTACAGCTTAAATTGGCAATTTATCAAACAATTGGTGCGCATATCAAACAGTTGCCATTTTTTTTTACCAATGCACAGCTTTTTTAGATGTCTGATTCGGTGTTCGAAAATGAAAAAACCTTCATAATATTGAGCACAAATCTCATTGTCTCATCAATATCAGTCTCATACACTATCAAGATGGAACCAAACTCACTGAATTAACTCGGTACTCGCAACGTTATAACACAATCCACGAACAATCAAAAAGGTGGAAAAGAGAGTAATGTTCAATAGATTCATTGGGTTGAGTGTATTTTCTTCGAAATTGAATCGGATTATTTAGATACAATGAGAAAGCTAGTTACACATACCTGTGAGATGGATCTCAATGGAATCAGTGCCTTCTTGTGGTAATAATTAATTCAAAGAAAAACTTTCAACAATGACATCTTGGGCGGTGAAGGTGGTGTTTAGGAGTTTCTTGCTGGGTTTTGAAGGCGATGGCTGATAGACTGATGGTACCAAAAAGATGGCTGATATCACTTTCTTATATATATATATATATCCCAAACCACCTTCGCACAGTTCGGTTTCAAAGCCCTCCCTCACTAGAACGTCGCAAAGAACTCTTTTATTTTATTTTTGTTTTACCTATGTTTCGTTTTCTGTTTTTCTTTTCGTAGCATAACTATCATATACAAAAAATAAAAAACAGAAAACGAAAAATAGGTAAAACAAAAACAAAATAAAAGAGTTCTTTGCGACTTTCTAGTGAGGGAGAGCTTTGAAACCGAACTGTGCGAAGGTGGTTTGGGACTTTGCGACTCGGTTCGAGTTGGACTCGGAAGTGACAGTGTTGAATAGAGTGGTGAGAGTTATGAGGAGAAAGATGGGATGGGTTAAGACAATTGCAGAGATGTGAGAGTGCAGACTGAAAGTTTGGAGGAGAGAGAAAGTGGTGAGAAAATGGGTTTGCTGCAGGAAGAGGAGAGAGAGGGTGCAGGGTGTGCTTTTGAATGATTGTCTGAGAAGAGGGAGACATAGGCACCCTAATCATGATGCTCGTACTCAATTTTTGTATTACTTAATTTTTGTAATTAATCCATCTTATTTTAAAATAGGTAGGACTTAGTATTTTGAACTAATCTGTCCCTAGAATAGGTAGGTCTTAATATTTTGAATTAGGCCATGCATAAGTACCACTTAACTTTTATAATTAATTCAACTTATTTTAGAATAGGTAGTACTTAGTTTTTTGAACTAATCCATCCTTAATATACCACCATCCCATACCGGTGTATACAATCCTCCAAACAATATAATTGACAAAACATGAATAAGTAACTTATCAATCATATTCCAAAATAAGCATAAAATTCTAATATGTATATGATCATAATATGTATTCAATACAAGATTTAAAAATCAAGTTCCAGTCCTTTAAATTGCTAGATTAAAACTAAGCATTTAAATTCTCCAAACAGTCCAACAATTGATGCAATTTATAATAAATTAAAACATCAATTAATCCAATCTAAGCATAATTATTTTCAGATGATAGACTATGCTTATAACCCTGCTAAAACATGATTAACATAATTAAATCATGTAGAGAAACAAAATTATTAAATATCAGTGAGCAATTTAAATTAATTGTCCAACCTTCCACATGCAATTTTACTGTTTAATCTTATGTCATTTCATTCTTCAACATCTTAATGTAAATATGCTTCCTAGTAGTTTTATATCTCTGTAACAGTTATATACATCATCCACAGCAATTGAAACAACTTAGAAAGCCCCCTATTGGCCAAACCAAACCCAGAACCACGAAAAACCAAAAAACAGAAGAGGGAGCTGGCTCCTTAAACAAGGGAGCCGGTTCTCCCCTTAGTGGAGCCGGCTCTACCCTTGTGGGAGCCGGCTCTACCCCTTGTGGAGCCGGCTCCACACTTGTGAGAGCCGACTCTTTCATCCCTAGAGCCAGCCCTCTCCTTTAGAGAGCCGTTTCTTTCCTTCTGAGAGCCGTAATTCGATTCTGGTTGTCTTCTTCGCCTCCGGCGGTGTGCAAGACCCTCTGTACTATCTTATTTAAATACCTAGGGTTCAATTTATGTCCTAAAATTAACTATAAGCATGTGTCATACATCATCGACATGAATTAAAACCAGTTTAAAAATCAACTACAACAAGATTTAAGCAAGAACATGTATCAACCATTAAACAATTTAATTCAATGCAATTAAATTCAATTCAAACATGCTTAAAAGATCAGTTTTAACGTCAATTTAAAACCCTATAGACTACCTAGGTGTGATACTTGTAATTTTAAAAGGATTGTCCTGGTATTTATTTAATTATTTAATTGCATGTTTAATTTATTTGGTATTTATTTAATTGTTTAATTGCATGTTTAATTTATTTAATTGGTTATTTGTTTGTTTGCATTAATTTTGAGTTTATTTAGTTGTTGTTTAATTGGATTTTTGTTTTGTTTTAATTGATTAGTTGTTTTATTTTAATTGGTTGATTATTTTAGTTCATTTTTATTTGATTAATTATTTTAATTTCATGGGTTATTTTAATTGGTTCTAATTAAATGTTTTATTTATTAAATTAGGTTTTTAACATTTTTGTAGAACTCACGTATGTGTAGCCGACGTATTTATAACCTAGGTTGCTCAATGGGCCGAGTAAGTCAGTTTAGGGTTTAATTGAACTTAGGATTAGGTTGGCCTATAAATATATGTATAAGGTTCTACCTAGTGTTTTAGAAAACCCTATTCACGACAATGGAGGCAGAGAAGGAATAGAGGAGGATTACGGTAGTTCGCCGGAAAACTTAGAAGAAGACGTTAGGAATTTTGAACCAAAATCTCAAAGGCAAGTTCTAATCCTAACTCTTTTTCTTTGATTGGTGTTCTTTGCATATCTAATACAACTCCAGGGAAACAATAAGGATTAAGATTAAACTGAATTTTTCCATGTCTCTGTTGTTTTAAAACTGACTGTATGCGTAAATTATACATTGTATGTTTAGATGTTATCTTGTTTATCATATAATTAAATTCATGTTAATTAATGAATAAAGGGTTTAATCAGTTCTGGAACACCTTGGGAAAACATTAAACTAAATATAGTTCGGATGTGTGATCACTTGAATAGTACGTTCATGAATGGACAATTATCTCGGTTTAAATCCTTTGTGGCAAAAATCATATTTAATTAATGTCGTTGATTGAATAAGGAATTTAATTATTTCTTGAATATACTGGAACCCAGTTTAGAGACCTAGAAGTCTTAGGAATGAAGGTCAGTTCATCAGAAACTCACCGGACGTGGAGAAGATGAAGGAACAGAGGAGAGACGGCTCACAGTTTGAAAGAGCAGGCTCTTGGAACCAAAGAGAAGGCTCCTAGAACCAAAGAGCCGGCTCTAGGGGACTTGGAGCCGGCTCCAAGACTAGGAGAGCTGGCTCTAAGCAAGAAAGAGCAGGCTCTCTCTTTGAAAGAGTAGGCTCTTTCATTTGGTTTTCAGTTTTTCATTTTTCTGCGACTTTATGGGCTACAGGACTTGGATTTTGAGATTTTCAAATTCTGAAGGAAGCTATTTTGGGATGCTTAGAGGTGTTCTAAGCCTTGTTAAAACTTAAGAGAGTTGGTTAATGCATAATAAATCAGTAGACGTTGATAGCTGGAACAGTAGTTAAGTTTTCATAAAACTGTTGCTACTTTAGTGGTGGAGGATTTAAATTTCTGAACCTTGGTTTAATCATTCTCTGTGAATGGAAATTTGATTAATTTGGTACTATTAAGAGTCACGTGAAGTCGGTAGGTTGAACAGTATATAATTTTAAGTAAATATGGGGACTGTTCTTGGAGATGGAGGATTTAAATTGCATAACTTTACGTGTAGCAATCTATCTGTGAATGGAATTATTGTTTAATCATGTTTCCATGGTATAATATAAGCATGTTAGATTACAGAATGATTATATGCTTATAATAGATAAATTTACTTATACATATGTTAAATGTATTAGTAATGCTTGGATAACTGTGTAGTGGTGTAAAGTAAGCATGTTCAATTAAATATTTTGACTCTGCTTATTATGAATTAGTTGATATTTACATTCTTGATCTGTATTATCAACTTCTGGACGGATAGATTGTATGCACCAGTATAGGACGGTGACATATCAGGAATGGTTTAGTTTCAAAGTACTAAATCTAACCTGCATTGGAATAAGGGAATGGATTATAAATAAATCCTACTTATATTTATGCTAAGTCAAAGAAGCTGCGCAAGCTGAATGACTAGCTGGATTACTTGTTATCTATGTTGAGTCAAAAAAGCTGCACAAGCTGAATGGCCAACTGGATTTCTTATGGATGGATAGGATAGGACTTTAAATATATTTTTATGGTACCGCGATATGAGTTTGAGTCTCAGAGTCGATGGTTAGGGAGCATATATGCAGTAGGATGCGTAGCTGGCTATGTTGGCTGAGGTATACCCTGTTAGGCTTAGGTAGTCATGCCTACTCAGGTGCGTTTTCCATGTTGCCTTCTACTTAGGTTGAGACCCGCATCATAGTCCAGTGAGAGTCCATAGTGTGGATATATATATATGTGCACGGATTATTTAGTTATTGTTGAGTTGGTTAGAGTGTATATGCGTATCGAGTTTCTACTTGGATTGTAGTAGGATAGAACTTGTTCGTGCGCCTGACCCACACATATTTTTCAGGTGCATGTCAGTTCTAGGCTTGAGCTTCTTCGTGCTGAGCAAAGACGGTCACTCATTCTTCCGACGACGTAAGATCTCCTTCCATGATATAATTATGGATTTCTTCTGGTTTTATTTTTTTTCAGTTGGGATTTTCTTATTAGGGGTCCACTGGATGGATTCCCGAGTTGTTAAACTATTGGAGGTTTTGGATTTTAAGTATTTAATTCTTAAAGGATTATATTTTAGATTTCTTTCAGCTTTGAATTATTTATTTCTTAAATTCATTTTGTAATTCTGTGTTCGTTTAAAATATTAATTGTTTGATATTCCCTCAGATTTGGGCCTGGGCCTGATCAACCTATGTCTCGGATCCGAGGGGTATCACACTAGGCATGCACAGAACACAGGTTTAAGGGAAAAAGTTAGAATAGAAACTTGCCTTCGGTTTCAGTTTTGAAACCTTAAACCGCCGTCTCTGAGTTTTCTGACAGATTATCGACTGCCATTCAACACCTCCATTGCTCTTGGTTCAATTCAGAAGCAACCCTTTCCTTCCTCCTTTAGCCTCCCTGGTTATCTCTCAAGACCCTTTATGTTTTCCTCTCAAGCTTCCCTCTGTGTTTTTCCTCTTAAGTCACCATTACGTGAGTAGGATTTTCCAACCCTAGTAGACGTAAACAAGAATATATATAGGCGTCTAAACCCTAAGTCTAATTACAACGGTATATATAAGCTTCAATTAAAACCTAATTCCAACCCCAACCTAAATTACAAGTCGGTGACTACATAAAAATATAAAACCCTAAACCTATAGTTATACACAAAAAACTAAAGACACGAAATAAACATTTAATCACAACAACAAATTACATGAATTTCCACATCAGCATATAATAATAAAGAAAAATAATAAATAAATAAAGCAATTAAAT